GCAGGACGGGAGCTAGCAATGCCCTCCTTCAGTTTCCTGTCCTCTCGCTCCTGCCCCTTCTCCTCCTCCTCCCCCCCCCTCCCCCCCCCCAGCAGCACGACAAATCTAACCTTATTTTGTGGTGCTGATGTCCTCCTCCTCCTCCTCCTCCCCCTCCCCCCCCTTCCCCCTCCCCAGCAGCACGACAAATCTAACCTTAATTTTGTGGTGCTGATGTCCTCCTCCTCCTCCTCCTCCTTCTCCTTCTCCTCCTCCACCACCCCATCCTTTTCCTCCCCCTCCTCCCCCTTCACCTCCTCCGCCTCCTCTCCCCCCTCCCCCCTCCCCCCCTCCTTCCTCCTCCGCCTGACGTGTCCAAAGACCAACAGAGACTTGGCGGATGCAGTCGTTCGCCGCCCCTACTTCCTCTCCATCTCGCCGCTGCCCTCCTAGCCATCATCTTTCTATTCCACTGCGATGTCCTCGCGAGTGTCTGCGCCCGCTCCCCTATCTCGACGCTCCCCCCTTCTCGACAAGGTTACGAGACGAAGACGGGACTGGCGAGGGCAGCGGTTCGGGGTCGTGGCGAATGGGGTTTTAAGAGCGGGCCGATCGGCTCCCCGATGTGGATGACATTGGAACCATCTTCGGGACCCCAAGGGAACTTGCGAAACCGATACCCTGGATGACACCTCGGAGGGAGCCCTGGCGGATACCTGCGGATACCCTGCGGATACCCTGCGGATACCTTCGGTCGGAACCCTGCGGATACCCTGCGGATACTCTTGAAACCTCTTATGAACGTTACCCAAGATGAGCTCGAGTGCTCCCTGGCGGATACCTGCGGATACCCTGCGGATGCCCTAAGCCTTTCAGCTCAAATCTGATGGCCTTCAGGATGTAACCCATACGATATGCCAGCTAAGGCGGGGTGATCACCATGCTAACCACGGCGATGGTGGCAATGATGGCGACGATCACGGCGCTGACGACGCTGATTGCAATGGCGACGGCGCTGGCGATCATGACGATTCTGGTGGGCATAGCGGTGATGTCAGCGATGGAAATGGTGATGGTGATGATGATGACGGTGATGATGATGCTGATGATGATGCTGATGATGATGACGATGATGATGATGATGACGATGCTGATGATGATGCTGATGATGATGATGATGATGATGATGATGATGATGTTGCTGATGATGATGATGATGATGATGATGAGTTTGCTGCAAGTGCGATGGCGGGGCGAAGCCTCCAGGCTGACATATAGTCGAATGCATCACTGGCAGCGCGAGCGCGGGGCAGAGCCTCCATTGCTCGCAGTTCGCCTATGCAGACAATCATTTTGATTGCATCTAGCTACAACCACGAACAGTTGTCGCGCCTGCGATCTATTCGGTCCTGCCGTGCTTCGCGGCATCCTGCGGCGCAGCCGCTGGACGCTTCATGGATGCTTTGGCCGCGCGCCTGCGAGAACCCGCGGGAGCGCCCTCGACCTGGAAGGAATCGGGGATGGGGTGGGTGGGGCAAGCACCGAAACGAGCCATCCTCGAATGCGAGCGGGGGTGTGCCGAGAAGTGTAACGCTTCGTCAGTGTCACCCAAGGGCGATAATAGGGCGGCTTACTGCTCCTCATATGCTCTCCTGAGAGCTACTCTCTGTTTCCCCCATCGCCATCACCCCGCCACCATCCCTACCATCCCTCTCCCCTGCGTTCATTCGGGCCCCAGGGAAATCAGGAACAAAAAAACAAAACAAAAAAACGAAAACTCGAAAATCCTGGCGCGTCTGCTTATAAACCTCATATCTTTGACCCAGGGCTCCTTCACGACTACCTGCGAAGGGTCCGCGCCGCCGTCGGCAGCTGCCGCGCCGCCGTCGGCAGCTGCCGCGCCGCCGTCGGCAGCTGCAGCGCCGCCGTCGGCAGCTGCCGCGCCGCCGTCGGCAGCTGCCGCGCCCGCGTCGCCCTCCTCCTCCTCTGCATCCTCGGTACTGCCTGCCGCCCCCTCGACTGTCGGCATGTCCTCGATGAGACCTCGGGCAGAGCGAGAGACGATCCGTGGAAAGGGCGATGACGATCGACCGACTCAAACGAGGCGACGACAAGCACCGCCGAACGAGCGCAGAATCATAATATCGTGGCGGTACCGATTGAGGAAGCCAAGCAGCGCACCCTCGAGCTTCGTCTTCGCGTCGAAGTGGTCGTCGAGGGCGTGCTGCGCCTCCTGGAGCTTCTCGACGACCAGCTCCCTGGAGGCGCCGCTCCCGTCCTCGAAGAGCCCAGGCATGACCTCAATGAACGAGCTCAACTTGGCCTGGGCGGCGTTGGCCCTCTTCATGAGGGCCGTGCTGACGTACTCCTTACCCTCCTCGCTCGATGCGGTGACAAGGGACGCAACCATTCCTGTGACCCGCTCGGTCGCAGTGTCCATGAACTTGTCGAACTTCTTGACGAGGCCAGCTGGCAGCCCCTTGACCTTGGGTTCCCTAGGCTCCCTGGGCTCTTTCTTAGCGGCAGGCGCCTTCTTGATCCGACCCTCGGCGATGATGTCCCGCCCCTGCTCGTGCCTGTCCTTGTTGACGGCCTCCGAGCTGTGGGAGTAGGTCGGCACCCAAACGAACTCTTGGCCCGTGTAGTCACATGTCATTCTGGGAGCCCGCGCCAGCAAGAGAGCCAGCGCGGACTTGTCTTTCTTGAAGCGATCCAATTCGCCGACCTCAGTGACCAGCACGTAATCTCCAGAAGCCTTGTTGGTATCGATGTTCTCCTGAACTTTCGTCTTCACCGTGTATTCGCTGATCTTCGCAGCGAGGGCTGGGCCGTAGAGCGCGCCAGCATTCTTCATGAGCTCCGAGCGGGCCTCGGCAGACAGCTCGGACCACCCCTCGAAGCGAGTCGGATCGGAGCTTCTCAAGGTGGATATCCTCTTCTTCAGGGAATTGCACGGGCCGCAGATCCACGAAATTGGCTCACCTGTGGCGCGCGAGCGCTGCTTCGGCGTGCAGACAGACGCGGGGCGCTGCTGGTCGCACTCGGCGCACTGCACCTGCGGCGTCGACAGCACTACAGATTCGTCGGCCATCGCTGAAGAAGAGTGACGGCGCTGCGATCGCTTCGCGTCGCGCGGCAGCACGGCGCGCCTCCAGCCAAATGGGCTACGCGCGCAGACGCAGTGGAGATGGAGATGGCGATGGAGGGATAGGGGCGAGGGTGGGATGTGTTGCAGCGGATTTGGGGGGAGGCGGAGGAGAGGGGCGGGTGCGGGTGAAAGGGGAGTTGGTGGAGGCTGGTTGGTGGACGAGAAGTGTCGACGATGGCGATCGTGAAACGCCGTCTGCTTTGCCGTGCTGTTTCCGCTGATGACAACGCTGCGTAAGTCGAAGCAGGGTGCGGTAGCAACGAGTGGCGACGGCAATGACAACGACGGCGGCGACGCCAGCAGAGGGCGGGGCGGCAGCCGCGCGGCCTTGCGCTGCTCGTCGTTGCCGCCCTGGGAAGCAGCACCGCCCTGCGGCGGCGGCGGCGCGGGCGGAGGAGGAAACGCGGGCGAAACCTGAGGGGGGCGCGGGGCGGTGGAGTCGGAGGAGGGAGAGGCGGAGTAGAAAGAGGAGGAGGAGGTGGAGGAGGAGGAGGAGCAGGGTGAGGAAGAGGAGGCGGAGGAGGCGGAGGAGGAGGAGGTTGAGGAGGAGGAGGAGGTGTTGTTGCTAGGGCTGGCGTGAGGCAGGGCCAGAAGCCCAGCATGGGGCGGGAAGAAAATGGCCACGAAGTGGCGGCGCATCGGCGGATGTCGTTGGGAGCCGCGCCCGATTGCCACATTAGGGAGCTGGGGGAGGGGAGGGTGGTGGGCAGGGGTGGTATGGGTGGGTGGGTGGGTGGGTGGGCGGGCGGGCGGGCGGGTGGTGGAGGTTGCTCTCGGTGCCTGGGCCTGATTCCACGCGAGGGCAACGCTTTGGGCATATGTGGCCAGTGCGCAGCCAGGACACCCTTGCGCGCCATCCTCCTCCCGCACACTCCTGCCTCCCTGCCCTTCACCACCCCCGCCCCACCACCCCCCCCCTCGCCGCAACTCCTGCGCCTCGCGCTGAGCCAGATCGAACTCCTCGCACCAGCGGATCGGCAACGTCCAGCTCACTGGAGAGGGGAGCCCGCAGTCCCCTCGTCCTCATCCCCTCCTCGTCCTCCGTGGGGAAGGGTCACCTAAGCGCCGAATCTTGCACAAGTCTTGTCCTTAGGTGGCCACCCCCCCGCACTGCCCTATCCGCATCCTCCTGCCCCTCCCCCCCACGCGATGAAATTCGCTTGCGCGCATGAAGAGTACCTCTGCGCCATGGTAGGGGGTGGGGGGAGGGGCAGGACGTCAGATAAGACGCGCGCGCACCTAGCTTGTCCCCCTCCCCAGCAGCACGACAAATCTAACCTTAATTTTGTGGTGCTGATGTCCTCCTCCTCCTCCTCCTCCTCCTCCTCCTCCTCCGCCCCCCCTTCCCCCTCCCCAGCAGCACGACAAATCTAACCTTAATTTTGTGGTGCTGATGTCCTCCTCCTCCTCCTCCTCCTCCTCCTCCTCCTCTCCCACCTCCACCTCTCCCTCTTCCTCCGCGGGGAAGGGTAACCTAAGCACCACATGCAGCCCAATGCTTGTCCTGAGGTGACCCCCCCGACCCGTCCCCCTCCTCCCTCATCCTCCTCCTCGCCCTCCTCCTCCTCCTCCCCCTCCTCCCTCGTCCTCCTCCTCGGCGGGGGAGGTCTGAACGTTGCCCAGTTCTTGTCCTGAGGTACTCCCCCACCTCCTCCTCCCCCTCCTCCACCTCCTCCCCCTCACCCCCGCACCCCCTCCACCTCTTCCTCACCCATTCCACCCTCGTTATCCTCCTTCTCCTCCGCCTATTCCCTTCATCCCCCTCAGCACCATCATCCACCCACCCCCGCCTCCTCGCCCTCCCCCTCCTCTCGCGCCCTCCCGCTCTGATCAAACAAAAATCAATTCCTTGCGGCTGCGGGCTGTTCGGCACCGTGCCGCGCTCGCCCAGCGGCCACCACGCGCCCTGCTCCACGTCTTGCCAGTAGCCGACCTCGGGCCCCCACGAGTCGTGCAGCGGCAGGGCCACATGCTGCGCGCGCCACACCAGGCCAGGCGGCTGCCGCTGCTCCGCCGCGCCCACGGCGCCGAGTGGAGCGATCGGCTCCGCTGGCGGGGCGCTCGCCTCCGCTGGAGGGGCGGGCTGCGCCTGCGGCGACCTGCCTCCCGTGGTGCCGTTCTCGGCGATGGCCGCGCGGGCTGCCTGATACGCAGCCTTGATGTTGGACGACCGCCCTACTACAAACAGCTGGCGGCCCTCTCCTCTCTGGCGGTCCCTGACGTTCGCCTTGCAGCTGTGGTCCCTCAGGATCGCCTCCGACTGCGCCGACGTGAGAGTGCCCTCCGCCAGAGGTTCTTTCACCGCAGCCACGGGGCCATCGTCGGGGCTGCCGAGAGACGGATCGGGCGCGGCACCCTTCATGCCCGCGGCTCCCCAGCCCAAATGGCTGTTGAAAACATCGTCATCATCGCCGCATCGCCGTCATGAGCATCGTCGCGCCATCCTAACCCGTCTTTCAAGCAGCCACCCCCGACCCCCCAACACCCGCCGCCGCGCGCTGCCCTCGCCGCGAGGCGGTGCGTGGACCCTCGACGACATCTCGGCGAGAGGGCCCGCGCGGCAAGGGGCGCGGGGCTGAGGGCGGTTGGATGGGGCGGGGGGGCGGATTGAAATGCAGGGCGGCGGCCCCAGGTGCCAACACACATAGTTTGTATTATTTGTGTTGTCTCTCTGCCAGGAGGAGGAGGGGAGGGGGAATGATGAGCTGAACTGCAGGACGGCGGCCCCAGGAGCGAATTGAACTATGCGACGGCGGCCCCAGGAGCGACCTGAAATCCAGGACGGCGGCGCCAGGTGCCAATGTTAATATTTTGTATGATTTTTTCCTTTCCAGAAGGGAAGGGGGCGGTGCGAACTGAAATGCAAGGCGCGCCCTCCAGGGCGATCGATCTGCGTCCATCGGGGGTCCGTCGGGCCCAGTAGGGCTCTGCGTTCGTCGGGCCCCGTCGGGCTCCGTCGGGCTCCGTCCGGCTCCGCCCAGGCAGTAAGGAGGAGGGGGGGGAGGAGGGGGAGCAGGAGGAGGAGGAGGAGGAGGAGGAGGAGGAGGAGGAGGAGGAGGAGGATAAGGAGGAGGAGGAAGAGGAAGAGGAAAATGAGGAGGATAAGGAGGAGGAGGACGAGGACGAGCACGAGGAGGGTCAACGCCGTCGGCGCCATTGTTTCTACAGGCGGGCGAGCCTCACCTGCTGAAACACTGGCGGCGGTCGCACCTCCCAGCCACCCTCGCACTTTTTTAGCTCACACTTTTTTAGTTTCAATACTCTGGCGAGAGAACGTGGAACGACGTGCCAATCTGGATGCCCAAGTGTACCCCAGCTATGCGTTCGGCGTCAATGCACACAAGTTCATCCGAGTGCTGCCACAGGGCAGCGTCTGTCAGCGAAGGGACCATGCGTTTGGCCAAGCAACACAACACAGGGGCATCGGGACACATCACCCACTTGGCCTCAACGAAAACCGACGCACAAAAAAACTTGCTTCCATATACTGCCTCGCTGGCTGAAATAATGTGGCCACATTTCAACACGCCGCGGGGCCAGTGTAGGCCCTTTGCCACGACTACCGTGGACGGGCGGTCACGGGGTGGCCAAGCTTCGGCTAACGACCGATCCTCATGCCTCGGGCCATTCAACGAAAACTTCTTACACTGGGATTCCGACAGCCTGCTCTCAAGGTCCAGAAGCAACCTGTTCATTACAGACCCCGACCGCGCCCCAATCGGCAAACGAGAAGCGTGAAGGCAAGCGCCCTTCACGAGCCTGAGGCGCCGCTCGCAACTGAAACAAGACAGGTTAACCCCAAAATCCCGAAGGTGATCGCCAATGTGGTATGTCATGTGGCTCTTGGGCTTGACGCTATCTAGCCCGTAAAGTTCAATCATGAGCTGGTGGTGTTCCGCATACAGGGTGTCGAACCGACCTGCCAATGGGACGGCCTCGTCGCCTAGGTGAAGAATGTTAAGGAGACGCGACATTACGTGAACGGCCCGACTATGTTCGGGCAGCCTCCCTTTGGGATCCAATACAGTCTGGCAAAAAACCGCCAGCCCGCGCCCAGGCGAGCAGTCAGGCTGATGATGCGGGAGCGTGTGTGTGTGTGTGTGTGTGTGTGTGTGTGTGTGTGTGTGTGTGTGTGTGTGTGTGTGTGTGTGTGTGTGTGTGTGGTGTGTGTGTGTGTGGTAGTGGTGTGTGTGTGTGTGTGTGTGTGTGTGTGGTGTGTGTGTGTGTGTGTGTGCGTGTGTGTGTGTGTGGTTGTGGTGAGTGTGTGTGTGTGTGTGGTGTGTGTTGTGTGGGTGTGTGTGTGTGTCGTTGTGTGTGTGTGGTGTGTGTGTTGTGTTGTGTGTTGTGTTGGTGTGTTGTGTGTGTGTTGTTGTGTAGTGTTGTGTGTGTGTGCACGTGCGTCGTGCGTGTGCGGCGTGTGGGTGTGTGGGGGGGGGGGGGGGGGGGGGGGGGGGGGGGGTGGGGCGGGGGGGGGGGGGGGGGGGGGGGGGGGGGGGGGGGGGGGGGGGGGGGGCGGGGTGCGCGGGCCGGGGGGGGTGTGCGGGGGGGGGGTGCACGCGGGGCGGAAGGCCAGATTCATGGCACGACTTGGCGGAAAACAAATCCTATCCGTTCCTCCTCCTCCTTCTCCTCCTCCTCCTCCCTCCTCCTTCTCCTCCTCCTCCCCCTCCTCCTCGTAGGTGCCCTCCGCGTATCCCTCCTCCTTCTCCTGCGTGCCCCCCTCCTCCGCCGCCCCCTCGTCCTTTCATCCCTCCCCCCCCGCCACCGCCCCCCCGTTCCTCGTCGCCCTCCGTTCCTCGTCGCCCTCCGTTCCTCGTCTCCCCCCGATCCGTCGGGCGCCGAAAGGCTCACATATAATCTATCACTTTTAATGCGACAAGACCCTCGCTAGCAAAAAAACGTGAATGTTTTGCAGATTGGTGGACGTATCGCTTCTGAAAAAAATCGACCTGGAGCTTGCGGTACTCTGGGCTGGTCTCAGCATGCCGTAGCATATCTGACGCAAAATCGTCCATGTCTTTAAGCGTAATTCCATGTTTCAGCATTTCTCCCAAGAATGAGTTACAATGGTATTGCCATACGCCTCCTGACGCCAGGAGGCAATGCATCCAATCGTAATACAAGCTGCTGATCGGCCTATAAACATGTTTCAACGAGAGATCAAACGCCAACGCACCAGGCTCGAAATTGAGCCCGTATACTTGCTCTAAAAGTTCAAATCCTACCAGCCCTCTGGGCGTATGTGGTTCAGTGAGGTTCCTCTTCCATCGTCCCTTCTCACCCTTCGGGGATGGGTGTACCCCTCCCCCGAACCCCACCCCCTGGACCTGGACGGGGGGGTTCGCTGGTAGTTGGGAGCGTCCAAGATGGCCCAAGATGGCTCCAAGAGGGCCTCGGAGAGCCCAACATGACCTACAATATGGCTCAAGACAGCCCAAGACGCCTCAAGATGGCCCCGATGATGCTCCAAAAGGCCCCAAGACCGCCCCAAGACGACTCCTATTCTAGACGCTTCGCGTATCCCCACAAGCCCATCCAGAAACGACGTCCAGGCGAGTTGAGGTGATCAGGGAAGTGAGGCAGCAAAGAGGAGGACGGCCGAACCGTGCAAAGGAGTCAGCAGGAGAAGGAGGAGGTGGATGGATGGATGGATGAGGGAGTGGGAAGAAGGAGGATGAATAGGATGAGGAGGAGGCGGGGGAGGAGGACGAGGAGGAGGAGGAGGAGGAAGAGAAAGAGTAGGAGCAGGAAGGAGGAACAGGAGGAGGAGGAGGGCAAGCACAGGGGCCAGAGGTCTCTTGGATGCCTCTCGGAGCCTCTTAGGGATATCATTTGGGCGATTCTTGGTGGCCTCTTGGGACGTCTTGGGGGTCTCTTGGCGATCCTGTGGTGCTCTTCGGGGTCTTGGGTGCCACGGGGGGGGGGCCTCGTGGGGTCGCTTAGGGTCTCCTTGGGGGCCTCCAGGGGGCCTCTTGGGGGCCTCGTTGGGCCATCTTGGGGCATCTCGGGGCCTCCTGGGCTCTTCTTGGGGCCATCTTGGAGGAGATCGGTCAACGAAGGGGGTCACCCAATTCACGCCGCCCCCTCCCCCCCCCCTATGGGGCGACCACCATCGTAAAATCAATGATTTTCGTTTCCTCGCCGATGCCGTTTTGGACGCTCCAACTACCCGCGGCCCCACCCCCCGCCCAGGTCCAGGGGAGGGGGTAGGGGGAGGGGTAAACCCCTAAACCACCGACGCCCAGAGGGCTGGTGGGATTGGCCACGTAGTCCTCCAAGGAGCACCCCCCCCCCCCCCCCCCCTCCCCCCCACCCCCCCCCCAGATGCCAAAATGGATCCAAAACCTAAGGGAAATCAATGTTGTTTGCGTTCTCGCCCGTTCGCTTCCGATGCCCATTCGAGGCCCCAAGATGGTTCCAAGAGGGCCCAAGAGGGCACCAAGAGGGGCCCAAGATGGCCCAATACTGCCCTAAGAGCGCTCAAGAGCGCCCCAAGAGCGTCCCAAGAGGGGTCCAAGATGTGATTTTAGATGCTCCCGAGGGGGGCGCTAACTAGGGGACACCCATTCCTTTGATCGATCACCTCCAAGATGGCCCCAAGAGCGCCCCCAAGGCTCTCAAGAGCGCCCCAAGAGGACCTCCAGAGGCGCCCAGGAGGCCCCAAGAGGTCCCCAAGAGGCCCTCAAGAGGCTCCCTAGACCCCCAAGGGGCCTCAAGAGGATCCCCGAGGCATCCAAGAATCCCCCAGGCGCTCCAAGAGGACCCCAAAACAACTTCCAAGGGACATCCTAGGAGGTTCTTGTGCACGTCATTGCTATTGATCCTTCTCATCTGTCTCATCCTCCTCCTCCTCCTCCTCCTCCCCCTTGTCGGCCTACTCCTCCTCCTTCTCCTCCACTTTATCAGCCTCATCCTCCTCCTCATCCTCCTCCTCCTTTCCTCTTCTCTTCCTCCCCCTCCTCATCATCCTCCTCCTCCTATCCCTCCTCCTCATCATCCGCCGATTCCCCCATCCTCCCTCCTCCCTCCTCCATTGTTTCCCACCTGCTGCCCCTCCTCCCCCTCCTCCTCCCCGTCCTCCTCCGACTCCTCCTCCATCCTCGCCCTCTTGGGTAAGACGGGTCCCCCAACCCTTTGCTACTCTGCATGCTCCCTCACTTCCCTGATCACCGCAATTCGCTTGGGCATCGTTTTTGGATGTGCTGGTTGGGATACGCGAAGCGTCAAGACTTTCCTCTTGGTGAGCACTGTTTTTTTTTGCAACGAGATCCTCCACAATTTCCCAAGCTCTTTCGTCCGTCTTTTTATCGAACACATCTGGTGTCGCTGTTTTGTAATGGTATATATATTCGTCGCCCTCGC